TAGCTTCATTTGTACAGCACAGGGCCTGACTCTTAAAGCATAGAGACAACTCTTGCTCTTTCAGATTTTTAGCTGGTTTTACTCCTAAAAAAACTAGGTACCCTGAAAATTTCCTATATTCCTAACATTGAAGTCATGCTTACTGTGTGCCAGGCTCTGTCCTCAGCGCTTTACCTATGTTACCTCATTGCATCCTCACAATTCTGTAAGGCAGAGACAAATTTCCTTTTTCAGATTTGAGATAGACCTGAGACACAGTAAGGTTTACTAACAGTACAGCTTCGCATTGAAAAGTAGCGCAGCTGCAATCAGAACCCTGACAGTCAGTCCGCCTACACCTTTCACTCTCCTGTCTCCCTAATAGATTGGCAGTGATTGTCGAATGCTTCCTTGACTGGAAACATTCCAAATGTGATGGTCCTTAGTCTGATTGAAATAGGTCAGGATCTTTGTTAAATTTGAATTGTGAGTTTCTCTGCCCTAGAATGCACTTAAGAAAACTAAACATCACCACTTAATTCCTTTAGGTCCTAAAATACATACATTACGCCCCAGTTCCAGTCTCGGCTTTGCCATTGACTAATGTAGGAGCTTGGACAAGTTTCTCAACCTGGCTTTGGGTGTTTCCAATGTAAAAGGAGGGGATTAGATTAGAAAATTCTCTATATTACCTACTAGCTCAGTAAATTATCTGAATCTGTACTCTACCAAAATAATACCAACTTTTTTGTCTAGTCATCTAGAACTTGTTTTTCCCAATGAAAAAAGAAAGTGTGGATTCTAAAGTGTTCTTCTATTTTGCTAGTCTCCTTGTTACTTTAAATACTCAAAAAAATTATACCAGGCCACTAGCTTTTGCCATCCTTAACTGTATATGTCATGTTCTCAATTTTAAGGGCTGGGACTCTTCCCAGAAGGTTTCTGCTGGTCACCAGCGAAGTGGAACACTCAAGGACTCGGTGCTTCAGACGTCTCAGGAAAATGCTTCCTCCTTGTACTTGGAAATCAGTAGTTACTGTGGCAACAACAGACTGATTTGAAGTGTTAGCTGTTAATTAAAACAATGCAGAGGTGTACAGTCCTTAGGTGTAACCAGAGCCTGCATGCAAACTTCATTAGTCACTTTACAGTTAATGTGCTGGGGAAGGTCAAGACAATTGAGATGCAGTACCCACTGAAAGCAAACAAATTCCTTTTCTCCAGGTAGCCTGCCATTTGCAAAGTCACGGGACACACTCGACTCCTGCCTGGCCGTGCCTTTGTCATTCACTTCTCGCTGATGATTAAATGTTACATTGGTACTGTCATTGCACTGTAAACCGAACCACACAGCGTCTTTATTGCTCGAAATCTAACCCAAACTTCCACGGATGAATTAGCGTGCGTCATGATTAAATCATCAAGCCTCCCCCTTTTAATTCACTTGGAAATAGGAGACCTTTCTTTTGAAAAGACATCAGCTTTCTTGACAAGCTAATTAAGTCGCCAACCTGTCCAGTATGTCATCTATCTTAGATTAACTTCTAATCATCTGTTGGTCTCAAAAGTCCAGGTGTTGCTTGCTGTCCAAAGTAACAACACTGTTCTTTTTACAACCTTTAAATCCTTGTGTATGCATTCAACTATTTATCTTCATATTTTAGTCCTTGGTGATTGGTTTTAATATACAGCATTTTAAAAAGTTGAAATTAGAAGAGTCTGTGGTATATAAGGGAAAAATACTCTTTCGGATTCTACATGTTACCTATATTATATAGAATAAAGTTACTATATTCAAATTTCATTTCATGTTAACTTTGTCCAACAACTTCTCTGTCAGGCATTGAGAAAAATACAGTGTAAGTCTTTATATACCAATTTAATATATGAGTTCAGATATATCATTAATCAAATCATGAACTGAAATGTAGTTTCACACTGTGAAAGTCTGATACTAATATAGATAATAAAGTAAGTGGTAATTTGTTTTAAAACCAGTGTAATATAGGGCTCCACCTATAAAATATAGATCATTTTATACAAAGTATAAAATTTTTTAAATAATTTAGGTTTTATAAATGTAATATTTCTGTGTACTCGAGAGGCTGATATTTAAATAAAGGTTTCAGACACTACAGATTAAACAGCTCTTAGGTAAACAACTGCCACCTAATTTTTATAATATCACCTTTCCTTTAAATGATACATGCTTTAATTTCTCCATAATTAATACTTTTATTGAAGTATAGTTGATACACAATGTTACATTAGTTTTAAGTATACAACTCAATAGTTCAACAGTTACCCACATTATTAAACCCTCACTCCAACTAGTAGTTACTATCTGTCAACATAGAAATATGTTGCAGAATCATTGGCTATTTTCTCCATGCTGTACTACCTTCCCCTGACCAGCTTATATTGTGATTAAGAATTTTTGTGCCCGTTTATCCCTCTGACCCTTCCCACCCACCTTAGCCCCTCCCCCATAGTTGCCATCTGTCACTTCTCAGTGTCTGTGAATCTACTGCTATTTTGTTCATTTTGTTTTGTTCTGTTTTTAGATTCCACATGTAAATGAAATCATATGGTATTTGTCTTTTCCATCAGGCTTCATGTTATTGCAAATGACAGGATTTCTTTCATTTTATGGCTGAATAATAATAGTCCATTGTGTATATGTACCAGACCTTCATTGTCCATTCACCTATCAGTGGACACTTTTAATTCCTTCCATATCTTGGCCATTGTAGATAGTGCAGCATTAAACATAGGGGTGCGTATATCTTTTTGAATCAGGATTTTGTCTTCTTAAGGTAAATTCCTGGGAATTACTGGGTCGTATGGTTTCTATTTTTAAGTTTTTGAGGAACCTCCATACTGCTTTCCACAGTGGCTGCACTAACTTACATTCCCAGTGTAGGAGGCTCCCTTTTCTCCACATCCTTGCTAACACCTGTTATTTCTTGTCTTTTGGTAGTGACCATTCTAACTAGTTGGAGCTGATATCTTAGTGTGGTTTTGATTTGCATTTCCCTGATGATTAACAGTGTGGAGCATCTTTTCATGTGCCTTTTGACCATCTGTGTTTGTACTTTGAAGAAATGTCTGTTGAGGTCCTCCACCCATTTTTAATCAGGTCTTTTTATGTATTTTTTTGGCATTGAGGCATATAAGTCCTTTATGTATTTTGGATGTTAACCCCTTTTCAGACAAATTGTTCACAGATAATATTCTCCTATACTGTATGTTGCCTTTTTGTTTTTCTGATGGTGTCCTTTGTTGTACAGAAGGTTTTTAGTTTGATGTAATCCCGCTTGTTCATATTTTATTTTGTTTCCCTTCTCTAGGGAGATATGTCCAAAGAAAATTGCTTATGTTTATGTTTAAGAGATTTTTGCCTATGTTTTCTTCTAAAAATTTTATGGTTTCTTGTCTTACATTTAGGTCTTTAAAATGAATTGTTAAAACAAAGGCTAAGTTTACCTTCCATAATTGGCTTGACCTTTATCCACTCAAGTAGGAAAAGCAGAATGAATTTCTTAGAACGCTTATATACATGGATATATGTATACGTACATGCACACATACATTTTTTTTAGTATTATCTGAATTTGTAACATTTTGTATATGAAAAGTTACAAGTACTTATAGATTCTTAATAACTAAACTGTTCTACAAGTCAGTCACTTAAAAACCATTTATGATTGCACAGCTCTGTAAATTTACTAAAAATCATTGAATTGTACATTTAAGCAAGTGAATTTTGTCACATATAATTACCCCTCAGTAAAGCTTTTAAACATTTGTCAGAGCAACCACACAGATACTTCTACCAAAACAACAGAAAATGAAGTCCTCATTTTGATAATAGAATATGTGTTTTGTTTTTAAGAAATGAGCAATTTTTACTAATAAGTTACTACCAAGCAAATATTGGGAGCCTGGTAAATATATTTGGCAACTTAAGGTAGGTGAGGATGGGGAATTTCTGAGAAGCTAACTCCCACTCCCCACCATCTTCCCCACCCTACTCATATCCTAAGACTAGCTGGGTGAGAGGAAGAGCATTCAGTCATGCCTTATGTACAGGATTTTAGTTCTTCCAAACTAATTTGTTTCTTTATACTTTTATGGACTTGCAATAACAGTGCTTGTTTATGTTATGTAGTTTGTTTTGAAATTTTTATATGAGGCAGATTGTTTCTGGATAATAGTGAGAATGTGCAGTCCTTGCAGTATGTGAAAGGCCACATTTCATTTAGACACAAAAGGTCTTCATGAGAAGTGAAGGTATTTTCTTTCTGCAAACCTTATTCTCTTGCACTTTTTCATAAATGAATGTATTCATATTCCTTGATTTAAATTGTGGTTATTTTATTGTGTCTCATCATTTGGGCTCCTCTCTTTTCCAAAGGTTTTTTAATATTGAGAGATGCCACCTTTAGGAAAAAAACCACGTATGTGAGCCCGATAACTCTGATTTGTCATATGAATTTATATCTTAGGTCATAGCACATGCCATCTGTTTTCAGATTATTTCGATAAAATGTAGGGATATAGCTTATCTGTATATAATGGAAATAAAAAAAAAGGAAAACCTCCTCCTTTCTATGGCTCTGTATAGTGCATATTAGAGGGCTGTAGAAGACCTCCCACACGCAGTGACAGGTATAAGGGATCTAGAGCCGGAAGACCTGGGTTTGAAGTCTATTTCTGCCAGTTACTTTGTGCCATTGGGAAAACTGCTTCACTTCTCTGTGCTTCAAAGTTCTTGTCTATGAAAGGAAGATAACAATACCAGCATTACCTCAGAGGGTTATTTTAAGGTAGTGTTTAATGAATCACTGTGTAAACCATTAAGTGCAATAGAAATAATAATTACTAATGTTATTAGTGTTCTTTGAAAAAAATCATCCATCCCATTGCTGCAGGTATGTTCAGATGCACATTTATGTGCTTTATCATTTTGTAGGTTGTTTAGTGATCCCAGGTGATACTGTTATTTTTTCTCCCTGTAGAGCCTATCATGTCCCGAGTGGGAAAATATTAGCTGTAAAGGTAAGTGCTGGATAATTTTAAGAATTTGTTGATGTTCATTGCTTTCTCCTCCCCTTACCAGCTTGAGTTTTGTCAAAGAGGAGAGGAAATGGTTTAGGGTTTAGATGATAGGTGGTGGCAGCTATGGTCCTGTCTGACAGGAGGTTCCTGAAGATACTTTTAAGTATGCCTCAGAAGAGTCAGTTGTAAGCGCCTTGCACTGTGAGTCTTCTAATGATTGTTACCTACACTTCTTTCTGTGTTCCCTGCTTCGTGGCATCACCATTTTCCTGGTCTTACAACTCAAAACTTGAGTAGTTATTAAGCTTTTTTTCTTTTACCTGCCACATCTTGTAAATGACCATGTCCTATCAGAAATCTTCCCTGCAGTGTGTCCATTTGTCACTTTCTGTTCTCATCCTCATTGCCTTGGCCTTCTGTCAGGCTCATATACCTCCTATCTGGACTTTTATAATAACTTGCTCACTGTACCTGTCATCTTTTTCTTCTCCTGTGCACCTTTTACTCTGCCTCGAGAGTTGAGAAGTTGAATCACAGATCTGACCTCATCATTGTCTTGGCACTCTCCACCCCCTCACTCCCCAATAGGATACAACAAGAAGCCTCAGATGTGTGCCTTGACAGCATCCTGAAATACTCCAGCACCATACCTACCAATAGAGTTAAGCTGCACATGATTCAGGGAGGTTCTAGGCATTTATTTAACATGCTCCCCACTTGTTTCCATCCTGTTTGTAATCCATACCCTCAGTCCTGCCATCTCTCTTTGGATTTAATCTCTGGCACTGGTTGTTGATGCTTGATCTCCCTATAATTTTATCTCAGATTTCCCTAATGGACTCTCTTCAATTGCTACTCTGACTAAACCACCTCAAGTTCAACCCCACAGAACCCCACTTCCAACACTGGGCTGTAAGCTAACAAGCTGGTCAGGCTGTCTGCAGATTGGTCCTCTGCTTTACCTGTCTGGGACTTCTCATCGTGCTTTTTAATCTCCAGACTTCAGGGCCTTAATATTGAAAGCATTTATTTTTTGAGTGACTACTATATACCAGGTTTTGTGCTAGATGCTATGTAACTGTTATCTTTATTCTTTGAAACTACAAATAAGCCTGTGTATTTTAAATTGGAGGAAACTGAGATTCACAAAACTGAATTGTTCAAGGTCACACAGTTGGAAGACTAGGGCTAGGATTTGAAACAAAATCCATCTGACTCCAAAGCACATGTCCTCGGCTACCCCATGCAGTCTTTATACAAGTTATTACCATTGCTCATCCCTCTGATTTTCATCCTTCCTTTCAGGGTTCATCTCCTGCAAGATGCCCTCTTAGCTATCTATCCCCAGGTAGAACTCAGTCTCTGTCCCTAACACTTGCATAGTGTATATTTCTGCATCTTTTATCTAGGAAACTAAGAATCAGAACAATGAATTTACAATTAGTTTTACCTTTTAGGAAGGTTAAACCAAATCTAAGATTCAGGTATTCTGACTACAAGAGTGATCGAGCGTGCATCCATACCACACCTGTTACAGTACCTAGAATATGTTATGTGGCATTATCAAGTCTAGTTTTAATAACTTAAATAGGTTTTGGTGAGGAGATATGACAGAGCTCCTTCCCTCCAACATAACTATGTTCACTGAAAGATACCTTAGAGATCATCTGTTGTAGCTCAACATTTTACAGAGGAATAACCTGAGGTCTGGAGAGTTCCCAGGGTAGGTTCTGTGGAGGCCAGACTGCATCCAGTGTTTTTCTGAGTTTTCTGAGTACAGCTCTATTGTACCACCTGAGCACTGGCTTGTCTTTTCTATACCTGCTGAGCTCCTTCTTTTCTCAGATGATACTGTCAACAAGAGCATTATTTTCCTGTCCATTGAGTTATTTGTTCCTTTAATGTGTCAAAACTTAGATTGTTGCCATTGATAAACTGAAATGTAGCCGTCACTCCAAGAGAGGGAAGCACTGCTATAAATCACCAAAAACCGTATTATTTGGCCTTGTATAAGTGCATTACAATTTTTCATAATTTTATACATTTTGAATTATGTTTAACCTAAGCCAATACTAAAATTCTTGTGCATTACTATTTAGTTGAGTATAGCAGGAAGCTAATAGCTATTTCTGGAAAGGATTAAAAACAGTTTTTAAAAAGAACATATTTAAAGAAGTGCTGTTAAAATAGAGACTTTCAGTAAATGAAGTCATTTTTCACTAGACCTGACTATACAACTGAGCTTTAGAGGAAGGCCTGTATTATAGTCCCTTTGCATCCCTGGATTCTATGAAATCACATGCTAGATGCTTAATATGAATTAATAAATGAATAATTTAAGAGTAAGTATGATTATTGTGTTTAAACTTCTGTTGAGCCCTGAGCTTCTTGGTGGCCAAAGCAAAAACCATGTCGCTTATATAACAGTTATAATCTAACAGAGAAATGTACCATTTCTCCAAAAGAGGCAAGAGTTTTTCACTCTGTCTTGAACTTGTATTAGTTTCCAAATATTTGGAGATTTTCCAGGTACTCTTCTGATATTGATTTCACATTTAAATCCACTGTGGTCAGAGAACATACTTTGAAAAATTGGAATTATTTTAAGTTTATTGAAATTTGTTTGATGAACCAAAATATGAATTATCTTGGTAGGTGTTCCCTGTGCACATGAAGACTGTACAGTCCATTGAATAGATGTTGAATAAATATCAATTAGATCAAATTGGCTGATAGCATGGTTCAAAATTTTCATATCTTTTCTGTTTTTTATCTACTCATTCTATCAATTATTAAAAGACAGGTGTTGAAATCTCCAGCAGTAATTGTGAATTTGTCTATTTTTTCCCTATGTAGTTTTGGATTATCTATTAGGTGCATTTAGGATTGTATGTCTCCTTGATGAATCAGCCTCTTTATCATTCATTAAAAAAGGGATCTTTATCCATGGTATCCTTTGCTCTGAAATCTACATTGTCTGATGCTAATATGAGCTGCTGTACCTTTATTTTGACTAGTGTTAGAGGACATAGACTTTTACTTTTAACCTATTGTGTCTTTATATTTGAGATGGATTTCTTGTAGGCAGCACAGAGTTGGGTTTTGTATTTTAGTTCTGATAATGTTTACTTCTTAATGGTGGTATTCAGACCATTTACATTTCACGCGATTATTGATATGGCTGGATTCCGTTCTGTCATATTACTCTTTGTTTTGTATTTGTTCTGTCTGTAAGTTCTTTTTTTTCTTTTTAGCAGTTGTTTTAGAGTTTATAGTATACATCTTTAACTTACCATAGTCTGCTATCAAGTAATATTGTACCACTTTACCTACAGTATGAGGACTTTACAATGGTATACTTTAATTTCCTCATCCTGGCCTTCATTGCTACTATGATGCATTTCACTTTCTAATTATGTTTCAAACCACAAAATATATTGTTACTATTTTTGTTTTAGATGTCCTTTGAAGACATTTAAAAAGTAAGAAAAGATTTGTATTTACCCATTTTTCACCAGTTTTAGTGTTCGACTTCCCTTTGTGTATATCTAGACTTTCATGATACCATTTTTCTTCTGTCTGAAAGTCTCACTTTTTTTACATTTCTTATAGTATGTGAGTCTTCTGGTAATGAATTCTTTCACCCTTTTCATATCTGAAAAGTATATGTTTGACTTTGATTTTTAAAAGATATTTTCCCAGTTAGAGAATTCTAGGTTGGTAGCTCTATTCTTTCAGGATTTTAAAGATTCTATTTCACTGTCTTCTGGCTTACGTTGTTTCCAATGAAAAGTATACTGTCATTTTAAATCTTTATTTCTCTGCACATTAGAACTGACTTCTTCTCTGGCTGCTTTTAAGAATTTTTTTCTTTATCACTAGACTTAAGCAGTTCAATTATAATGAGCTTTTATGTAATTTTCTTCCTGACTCATTTACTTAGAATTTGTTGAGATTCTTGCATCTCTAGTTTTACCCTTCATTAAATTTGGAAAAATTTTAGCTATTAGTTCTTCAGGAATCCCACAGCTCTTTGGGTACTTAAATTGTATGTATATTAGGTCACTTGAAGTTGTCCCACAGCAAAATGATGTTTGGTTGTTTGTGTTGGCCTTTTTTCTCTCCATTGTTTCAGTTTTGGATGAAACATTTCATAATTTCTGTTTTCAGATATTTAAGTTTTGATCTTTTCATCTGCATTGTCTAATCTGCTATTACTCTTGTCCAGTGTATTTTTCATATCAGACATTGTAATTTTTATCCCTACAAGTTTACACTTCTTTTTAACATCTTCCATGTCTCTATTTAACATGCTCGAACTTCTACCTTCTTGGATATATGAAATACAGTTTTGGAACATATGGAATCGAATTAACTGAATTAATGGTTTGTCTATTAAATCTATCATATGTGTCGTTTGGGGGTCAGTTTTGACTGCTTTTTCTCCTCATTCTGGTGTATCTGATTGGATGCCAGTCATTGGCATAGGTGCTAGATATTTTTGCATTCCTATAAATATTCTTGGACTTTATTCTGAGATACTGTTTAGTGATTTTGAGACAGTTTGCTCCTTTTAAGACTTGCTTTTAAGCTTTACTAGATGGGGCCGACTCAGTGGTCAGTATAGAACCCATTTTCCCCACTTGTCTGAGGCAGCAGGCTTCTGAATACCCTACCTGGTACCTGGCAGTTACAACTGACCCTTGAACAACGTAGGTTTGAATGCACAGGTCATTGAATATATGCATTTTTTTTCCAAAAAATATATATTGAAAGATTTTTTTGGAGATTGGTGATAATTTGAAAAATATTTCTTTTCTCTAGCTTATTTTATTGTAAGAATATAGTATATAATATGCAAAATAAGTGTTCATTGACTGTTTATTTTATTGGTAAGGCTTCTTTCTGGTAAACAATGGGCTACTAGTAGTTGAGTTTTTGGGGAGTCAAAAGTTATATGTGGATTTTTGACTGTGCAGGACCTCAGCACCCCTGACCCC